CTCTGAAGGGGCACTCGAAACTGCAGATACCAAAACTGGCGAAGCATGGTTCTCTAAAGAAGTTAGCAAGTCCTGGGGACAAAATCAACAATCTCTGGTTAGAGCAAAAGCAGGAGCTTCCCTGGACCTATTTTAGCGCTAAAAAGAAGCACAGGAAGTAGGACTGAATGAGGAATCTTGCAGATACGCCATTATGGCAGGAAACAGCCTGTCTGTGAGGAAGGACAGGAAAAGAGACTCAGCCTTGTAAACAGCTTTAACATTGCTGATCTTGACTGTCTGGGGAGATGCAGAAGCTAAAAGAATCACGCACTTGCTAGCTTGCAACGTGATCACGGTTCCTCCCCAGAAGAATCTCCAGCAAAAAGCTAATCCAGAAAGAATTTTCCTCCTTTCCTTCTGTTACGATTAAAGAGGTGTCCCCCCTATGAGCAGCCAATGTCCCACTCATGCATCCTCTCCTGCCACTTCAGGAATCTATTGAATATTTTGTCTGTTTCCTTCATCTTCAGTCTCTTCCATTGTCACAGATCCTCCCCCTTAGCAGGTAAATATGCTTAAAAAAAACCCATGCAGGAAAACCAAAAAAATCTTCCTTCAATTCTACTTACACCTTAGTGTTATTTTACTGTCTCCTCCCCTTCACAGGCAAATTTCCTGAAAGAGTTGTCCGTATACAATATCTCCATTTCCTCACCTCTCATTTATTCTTCAATCCCCTCCAACGTGGCCTCTGCCTACTTCCCTACTCCACCAATCCTGTCTTGCTCAGATCACAAAGATATTCAAGTGATTAAAGCCCCTGGACTCTTTTCAGGCTTGATCTTACTTGATCCTTCTACAGCATTGCCTCTTTTGACCTTTCTATTCTTCCTGAAGGAATTTAGCCCCTTGGCTCTGCATTTTATTTTTCTGGGTCTTCCTGTATTTCTAGGCATTCCTTCTCAGCCTCCTCTGCTGGCTCCATGTCTTCTCTTCAATCATTAAACATAGTAGTTTCTTAGAACTCTGTTCCAGACCTTCTTCTCTTCTTACTTGATTCTGTCTATGTCACCTTAACTACTTCCCCCATTTCAAAATTACCATCTATATTCAAACTGCCTTCAAATATGTATCTCAAGGTCACCCTTGTCTTCTGAATTCTAGACCCATTTATCAAAACTCAACTTCCTACTGGACATCCCTACCTGGATATTTCAAGGGCGCCTGAAACCCAATGTGTCCCAGACTCAACTCATGATCTTCCCCTCTCATCTTTCCTCAGTGAACCCCCCTGCTCCCCCTAAAGTGTTCCCTTTGAGTCATTGCACCAGCATCCCTCCAGAACCATATGACAACCAAGTCCTGAATCTTATGCCCCTTACAGAATCCTCCCATTTCCTGTCATCCCCACTGCCACTGCCCCAGAGCTGGGGCTCCACCATCTCTCACCTGGCTTCCGCCTCACCGGTTTCCCTGCCAACACTCTGCTCCTCTTAATTCCATTCTCTACGTGCATTCAGAGTAACATTTATAAAATGCAAATGTAGCTCCCCTGTCTGCAGTTCTTTAATGGCACCTCACTGCTTTTAGGATGAAGTCCAAACTCTTTGATATGGTGTAGAAAGTTCTGTGGGTCTGGCCCCAGTCCATCTCTCTAGCCTTATTTTGAGCCCCTGTCCTCTTTACTCTCTGTGTTCCAGCCACATCAGGCTTTTTAATTTCTTCAAGTGTTAGGCTCTCCTCTGCTTCAGGGATTTTGTGGTCCTTTCTGCCTGGAATACTTCTAACCCCAGGCTAACCTTACTGTATTTCCCTTAGCATACTGAACTTCCCCTTCAAGACACTCAGTACCTGGTAATAACTTGTTCCCCATCTTTCTCTCACTCAGCATGAGGGCAGAGACTAGGCTGTGCTCACTGCTGTGCTCCTGCTTCTAGTCTTCTGGTTTGGACAACTGCCAAGTCTTAGCTTGTATGCCGAGCATAGGTGGCTCAAGTGCCCTGAGCTCAGTGAATGGCCAAGGTCTTATTGGATTGAGCCAAACTTTCTCAGGCATGATCACTCCCAAAGAGGTGGCCTTTGTAAATCCTGTCACAACTCTGGCAGCATCAGGCATCTTTCATGTATTCCATGGGTGTAGTGGATAGATTGTCTGGCCAGAGAAGATCACACGTCACCTGCCTTATGCTCAAAAAACTTTGACCTAACCTAAGGTCATCTTTACCCAGATTCTCTGAAAAATGTCAGTGTTTCTCTTACCTGTCTTAGTCTTTTCTCCAAGTGTCTTCCTTGAGAGGAAGTCTTTCCTACCTCAGGATATCTGATCATTCCTTATTCTCTTCCTGTTCATCAGTTCAAGTCACTATAAATTAGCATCACCCTCCTTCAACATCACCTTTGTGCATCACACTCCTTCACCATTCTTTCAGCAACTGTTTGTTGAGTGCCTACTATGTACCATGCACTGCTCTTCTAGGAACTGGAAATCCTGCTGTGAGCAAAACAGACAAATCTCTGTTCTCATGGAATTTACAACCTAGTGAATAAGAATAGCCAACGTCTGCTGAGTATCTATTATGTGCCAGTCATGGATGTAAGCACTTTATTTGTGCTAACTCATTTAATCCTCATAAAACACCCTAAGATGTGATGTTTCCGCTTCTTTATAGGTGAGAAAACTGAGGCACAGAGCAGATAATGGAGCTCCAAGGTTGCACAGCTTACCATAAGGGATAGAGCTGGGATGCAAACCCAGGAAGTTGGGCTCCAGGGTCTGTGTTCTTAACTACTACCCTCTGTTGCCTCTCACCCATCTCAAGACCTCCTTTGTTCTTATCTAAATTGGGATGTGTTTAGGACACTCATTTTTTTCATTCCTGTCTAATTCCTGCAAAATGCATTGCATTTGCTGTTCATCTGTCTGGAACTCTCTCCCCCATGTTCTCACAAGTCTTCATTCAGATTTCTGGTCTCCTTAGAGAGAACGGCCTTCTGCAACCACCTTATGTAAAATGGCCCCTTCTGCAGCCCCCTATTCTCCATCTTCTTCCCTATTTTATTGTTTCTCCTACTTCTCATCACTACCTGAATATCTGTTTGTGTTTAGCATCTCTATACCCTGGCCCCAGGATGTGGATTCCATGAGCACAGCCTTCTGTCTTGTTCACCACTGAATCCCCAGCACCTGGAACAATGCCAGACACATGGCAGTGCTCGACAAATGTTTGCTGATGAGTGAAGAGATGAACAAAGAGGGAAGGAGGAAGGTTGATAGTTCTGAAGAATAAATGAGAAAGCAAGCTGTTTGTATTTAGTATTTGCTGTTTGATGGCTAACAGCAAAAAAAAAAAAAAAAAAAAAATTCCAAGCAGCCCACATAGCCAACAAAAAATCATGGACAGAGCAGCATGGTGAAATTCTACACACCTGTGAGAAATGTTAAGCATGCAGACAGCATTCTAATGAAAACAGATTGCTAAATAATTATCAGTGAGGAAAAATCATGGAAGAGGATGTGCACACTGTTGTTATTGGAATGTGTACACATTTCTCAAAACCCAAACTCAGGTATGCAAGAAATGTGATTTAAGAGTTGTTTTTCCCTGTAATTGAATTCAATTTGTACTTCAAGTCCTCAACCTGGGGACTTTGTTTTGGTTAATTCAATATCTGCTACTACTGCATTATCTGATCTGGTGTCTGAGTTCTGGGGGGCTCAAGGTTGGTGGGAGTTGAACTGGTCCCTAGTCATGGCCAGGTGTATTTCACTTGAGTCATCACCGTTCCCATCTGGTCTCTGGTGGGAGAGCCACAGAGATGGCTGTTCCCTCTTTGCCTCTCCACTTTCCCTTTTTGGCTCTCACTCAGTTTCTTCTGTAGCCTTCAGTGGGGGTGAGGTCATCATCCAGCTACTGTCCTGTCATGCCAGGGCCACTGGGCCCTCTCTGAGTCTGCCTCAGGCCTTCTCTACCAGGTACCTTACCAGTCCATTCTACACCACAGTTTCTGTGCCATGCTGGGCATGGAGGTATCTCTCTAAGGCTTGCCACCTCTGGCTTCACCTAGAAAGAGGGCACAGATTGGCTCTGTTTTCAAATCCCTCAAACATTTTTTTGGTTTCTGTCATCCACCATGCCTTTCCCTCACAATTAGGATTCAGCCCAGGCTTGGAGGAAAGCACACAGACCCCTTTCTCAGGAACACACCAACATCCAAGCTCCCTTCTCCCTCCTCTGGCCCATGACATTTTAAATGTGTCTAGGGGAGATAAATAACCAGCTATGACTAAAGCTGTATTTTCCATACCCCGAGTCAAAATAAAGCCTGGATAAGAAGAAAGGCCTTGTACTCAGGGTGAGGAGGATGCAGCCACGCTCTTTGGGAACTCCAGTGTCAGGTGGACATGACCCAGTGCCATTCTTTTCCTCCACCCTTGCCTTGGTGTAAGCAACTGGAACTTGGATGCATCCCCGGGGAGACTGAGTGGATTCCAACTTAATTGATGGAACCCTGAATTAACAAGGATTTAGTTAAATTGCCTGATTAATTTATTTAAATTGTCTTCTATTACTCAGCATAATGGGGGCTTGAGACAGAAATTAAGTTATAACCGTAAAAGTTACAGCCATGAGAAACATCAGGATAATTTTGCCATGTTTGAAAATTAAAGACTGTTCAATTTCTTGTCTACCTGCGGTAGCTTGAAGTTCTCTGGTGCCTGCCAGATCACTTTTTAAAATCTAGTTTTGTGAATATATATGAAGCAGATGTTAATCTGAATAAAAGATGAACTCGGGCATTTCATTCATTGGATTCTATTGTTTTTGCAAAATTATCCACGTTAAAAAAAACACATTGATAAAGGGTGATGGAACCAAGGGCATAAAAAAAGAGGAGTATTAGGATCCCAGGGCACAGAGATGGGTGCCCTTTGACGCCTGTTTTGGGCATCCCCTCTGCTGCTCATGTGGGGACTCATCATGGCACAAGGGATGGATATTCCAGCAAACAGTACTTACCCTCAAGGACAGAGGTCATGATACTGACAACACTCATTGCCCTTCGGACTCGGAAAGGTTCATTCAAGTATTCTGCTGATAAAAAAGTCTTCTTCTGTCCTGCATCAAGTGCCTGCTGGGACACAAACAGAGTCAGGACACTCTCCCAACCTGAAGTCTTCAGTGGCGAAGACTATCACTCAGCCTCTTATTGGCCAGTCTCTTGGGGTTGTGAGTTGCCCAGGGAAGCTATGAGCCTCTGCTTGGAGTCGTGCTTGGAGAAACAGGCTACTGCTTGAACTTGGGGTAGGAGCTCTAGCGTGAGGACCAGGGCACAGAGCTGGGGTGCAACCAGAGCCTAGGTTTGCAGCTAATGGAGGGACCTGGGCTCACCTGAGGTTCTGCAAACTCTTGCCCCAGGACAGGTACCTGGGTACCAAGGTGGGGACTGGGCTGCCTCCAGGGTCTCTGAGGTTTCTACCAAAGGGAGGTGACAGCTGCAGGAGCAGCAGGCAGTCATTATGAGACTCTGGGCTGTACACAGGACTTGAGACAGAATTCTTACTCCACAATGGGTTTTCTTGACCTCCCTTCCAATAGGCCCATTTTCCTCCCCAACACACAATCCCGTTCCAATTCCACCCAGTCTCTTTCTTTCTGAGGGGATATTTATGTGTGTGTATTGTCCAGTTTTAGTTGTCTGACACAATCCTTTCGACTTTTCCCTCTTCGGGGCTTCACCGGAAGTTCTGTCTGGGTTTTGTGCCAGTTCCCTACTTCTAGTCACAGACACACCCTGGATGTGGGGAGTCCGAGGCCCACGGCAGCTGATTCAGCACTAAACAAACCATTCAGAATCCAAATTCAACAAGCATCTATTGAGCACCTGCCATAGGTGAAACTCATGGGTATACGGTAAGCGCTTGGTCCATATAAAGAAAGTTTAGAAAGTTTTCAACAGTTAGGACTCAACAAAAGACACTGACAGCTACTGTTGTCATTTGACAGATACATGTATATAAATGTAGGCACTTTATTATTCTATTTAACTCTTCAGCTATTTAGAAACCTTTTTATAAGGGGAGACACGGAGGCTTGAAGAATTTAAGGACTTGCTAAAGGACTCAGTAAATGGCACAGCTGTTATTGAAACCTGGGTCCACGCAACAAGGAAGGGCTTGAAGACTTGGTCTTCATGCCAAACAATTTAACTAAAGTGAATCAAGGTCAGAATATCTAGGAAATAACAAGGTTCTTGAATGAGGCACTTTCTAGAGTGTTCTGGCACATCCTGCAGGCTGGCCTTGACTTTAGGACTGTGCTGGCGATTCTCTGTGGCTCTTGGAGACCCGCTCTCCATCTTCTCTGCCCTGCTCTATACCCTCTGGTTCTGGTGAGGTTTGGCCAGTGGGAGGCACAGATAGGAGATTAGAAGCTGGAAGGAGAGGGAGTTGGCTATCTGTCACCTGGCTTCTTCCCTACTGGGCTGTGGCTGGGCTGTGGCTGGGTTGTGGCCACAATCCTCCACCTGAGATCACAGGTTCTGTCTGGCCGCCTCTCACACACAGCTGCAGCTCTTGCCTTGTTCTGGTTCTGGTCCTTTCCCTCATCTCCCAGCCAAGGTATGTCACAGCATCCCACTTTTGCTGGTCTCTAGGTGCCTCACTGTCCCTTCTTAGTTCCAGAGTCCAGCGCACACCTCTGTAAATACTTCAATAAACTCTTTCCCCTTGCCCATTGAAGTGGTTCATCTGTCTCCTGCTGGGACCCTGAATTACATGGCGTCCAATCAGAGAGGGAGCTAAGGTAACTCTGTAAGACTTATCCAAGTCAGTAGAGCCATATATTGGTCAGTTCACCACTCTGTTTGCAAACTGCTCTGTGTCCCTGGTTGGCAAGAGAGGGCAAACGAAAAACACTAGAAGCATCATTATTACTGAAACTGGAGGGAGAGCTCAAATTAAATCACAGCTCCCAATCCAATGAGGAGTCCCTGGTTTGCCATTATATTCTGTGATTATTCTGTTAAGAATGCTAGCTAGCTGGTCACCGTTGCCTAATTTGTGCATTTTGGCAAGTTATCTCTGAGTAAAGCAGGGAATACTTAGCTTCTGCTGAGATCTGTCCAGGGTACCTCCCAGGATTTCTCTGGGTCCCATTTGCCAAGCCCAGGGTAGTGTGCACAGAGCTACAGGCAGGAACAGAAGAATTTTCAATTTTTCTCCTACTCATCCAGGGAGCAAGCAGGCCCATCTTTAAAGCAGTGATATCGACCCTGATATCAGTTTCCCCACATTAAACCCAGCATATATGGGGTTAAAACCAAAACACTCATTCCCTGCTTACTCTCTGGCTTCCTGGCTCCAGAATCTACTATCCTCCATGGAGACAGACACCGTCAAGGACAAGCATCTGGACTATCTCCTCCCCACAAAGAGATACAGACTGGTGGGAAAGCTGCTGACCAGCAAGGTCACGGGCTCCCTCCTCTCTGTAGGTGTCTCAAGGCCAAAGACAGGCTGGTAGGAAACCTCCGACCAGCAAGACCATATGCTCCCCCTCCCCTACCTAAAACCCCAAATAAAAACCCTTCCTTTTAGCTATTTGAGGAGTTTGGGATTTGAGCGTTAGCTGCCCTCTCTCCTTGCTCAGCGCTGTGCAAAAATAAAATTCCTACTTTCTTCCACCACACCCGGTGTCAGAGATTGGCTTGCTGTACAACGGGTGAACGAACTCACTTCAGGTTCGGTAACAGCAGTGGTGTTGAGAATGGACAGAGAAATGCTGGAAAAAATATGGGATCAACCGGAAAACAATCTGTATCACTGTACTGCAGAGAAAACCAGAAAACCTGTTTGACCTCAGGTGAACCCAGTCTCTCTCTCTGGGTATCACTTGCCCTGTCTGTAAAATGGGGGTAGATGGGAGGTGTTGAGCCGAGTGAGGTTTAAAGGACCCTTGTGTGGGTGACATTCAGGACCTCTTGGCCATAGGCCTCTAGCTGGAGGGCAGCCCAAGAGAGTCTGGAGCATTCACAAACTCACCGGAACTTCGATGGCTCCAGGGGCGAGCTCACCAGTGGGCAATGTGGGGTGTCCATCTTCTCCATGCCCTGAACCAGGGTTGGGGGGTTGAGGCAGCGGACTCGTGGGGAGGGGCCCTTGCTGGCTGGCACCTCTATTCAGCAACAGGGATCCCCGAGGGCTTTCACTGCCTTCAGGAAAGGCTCCATCATCGATGACCCCATCAGGGAATGAGACGTCTTGGGCAGGGGCCCGGACATGGAACACACTGCCATGGCTAGCCCGGCGTCTTCCAGAGGTGAGGCCTAGGAAAGACTGGACATTGCCCCAAAGGAGCAGGAAAGAAGGCAGGCTGGCAGCTTGTCCTGCAGGCAAATCTGGAACTCAGCGCTTCCCTCCACCCACTCCCATTTCCCTGCCCTTATTCTCATGACCTTCCAGCAGAAAATGAAAGACACAGATCCAATGGGTATTCTAGATAAACATGGGTAGAGAACAGGGAAAAGAATATTCTTGACACAGCCTGGGAAAAGGCCAAGAGAGATGAGAGATTACAATACTTAGGATCAGCAAGTAGGTCAACATAGCCAAGGGCATGTCAGAGGACAATCTTGTCACCCAGATTGGTCATAGTGTTGGACAAATCTGTCTCCAGTTCCCTGCTCCACATGCAAAGTTATGACCTAGAGAGACTATTATGCACACCAGTACTGGAACAACCTTGGTAAACGGTTGTTGAATGAACGGGTGCACTACATTGTCTGAAAATTAGGTTCTACAATTCATTAGACTCAGCCTATATGGATGTGAGAGTTTGTGTTGCAAAGGAGGAGACAAGAGCTTTGTAATGTAATGAGCCTCCAGGATCCCTCGAGGCAAACTGTGAATAGTCAACAATGGGGAGATTGAAGATAGCATAGCAGCCCAATTTCCTGGAAGAATAATGCCATTCCTCCAAATCAATAAACATTTCCCATCAAAATCTTCCTGTGAGGGAAATGTGTGGCTTACAGTTGCCAGAGAAAAGGAGCTAATTTATAGGTTCAGAAGCCCTGGAGAGTTAATATGATGGGTTGGCTAGTTCCCATGACCACTGTGGGAACCTGACCATAACAAGTTATCAATTCTGTCCTCAGGTCATATAAAGTATTTCTAAAATCTAACCAATGACTTCCTACCAAACTCCAATGATACTACTGAATTTTCCTCCCCTTCCTTAATTCCTTTTATTTACTAAACTACCAAAGTTGGGACATTTTATCAATCAGAATCCTCTTTACTTATCCACCTATCCCACAGAACTGAGGTTTTCTTTCTTGATAATTTGGAGCTCAGTACTGTTCAGCAACTACCATTGCAATCCTGGTATTCTAAACTGAGCACCTTTGGCCTAGAATATCTGCCCAAGGACTGTGGAACTCATAAAAATCCACAAATCCTTCACACTTTTTGAACTGGCAAATCACACTTTAAGAATTGGCGGATCCTTATTAAAGACAGGATAACTGAATTATTTGCACTTGGGCACTAAGCAAACTAATGAAGAAACTAAGAAGAAAATTTTGGTCCCATATTTGACAGTCTGTGCCTCCTTGGCCACCAATTAACATTTCAGAATTAACCTATTTGACAAGCGGTGGGCAATGTCCTCTGAATCTAAGTGTTAGACTTGCCTTAAAATGCATCATCCAAGCTGGCCATCTGGTATCCTGTGGGTTCCCCCAAACCCTTGGTGTGTCTCTCCTAGGTGCTACCCCCAACCTTTCTCTCATTGCTGCTGGTCAGAAAATGGTTTTATATAAAAACTGCCTATGGCCTATTTTCCACATGAACACACCTGGAAAAAGAGGAAGGGAATGTCTTCTTGAATGGGCTCCACTCAATCAGTTAGGATTAAATAAGTGCCCAGATGGTGCCTCCTTGTCTTTGCACTTACATATTCTTCTTTCTGCCTGGAAAATACTCCTTCCCAAATCCTCCTAGTCCTCAATTACTGGAGGAACCTTTACTCACTATTTACTATTCATTTCAATTATCCCCTCCTCCATGAAGCCTTCCCTGACATACCCCCACCCCCATACATCTATTTCTAAAGCACCATGTATGTGTCTCTAATACAGTATTTAACACATAGCTGTTTTTATATCTGCCTCCTCCACCCAAATGGAATTCCTTGAGAAATGGACCATGTTTTAGTCATCTCTTTATACCAAGCACCTAGTATTGTTAACTTAACAAGACACAGTTCCTCTTTTTTCCCTCTGAAGGTAAGCCCGGATGGAGAGACAAGCACACACATCAAACGATTATTGGATATCCAGGCACGAATCTATGTGGGGCTAACTGAATGGGGGAAATTAAAGTCCAATTCAGAGCATCATTGACATTCTGTGGATGCTGTGGTTCATTCTGATCTATGATTGCCAGAGCCCTAGTCAAATCTCCTTTGAAACATCTTCTGAACTGTGCCCATGATGCCAGGTACTGCTCAAAAGAGGCAGAGCAAGGGGCAGGGCAGGCAGTGCATCAGTTAAGTTTACACATTCCACTTTGGTGGCCCGGGGTTCCCCGGTTTGGATCCTGGGTGAGGATCTATGCACTGCTTTTCCAGCCATGCTGAGGCAGACAACTCACATATAAAGTAGCAGAAGATGGGCCTGGATGTTAGCTCAGGGCCAATCTTCCTCAGCAAAAAAGGAGGATTGGCAGCAGATGTTAGCTCAGGGCTAATCTTCCTCAGGAAAAAAAAAAAGAGGCAGAGCAAGGAAAGGAAGAGCACAGACCTTGATAAATGCTGAAATGTGAGTATCACTGAGGCCAGTGTGCATGTGAGCACATCTATGTACATTTATGCACACCTAAGTCTGGGAGTATAGAGATAGGATTCCAAAAAGTGGGACATCCTTCAGATGAGCACAGGAAAAGAGACTGAGAGGGAAGTGAGGGTCAGGAGGCCCGAAAAATAGCCATGTTGATCCCCTTTCCCATACCATTAGTCTGGGAACTACCCTCCACAAGGGGGTTATTATCTCTAAAGCCTGTGGAAAAGGCATAACTGGGGTACACAGGACTTTCAAGTGAGAGGGAGGCGGTAGGAGGAAACTTTGTGAGTACAGGGAATCTTGGAGTGGGAGGTAGAAGGTTATGATGTTAGGCAGAATTGCTACAGGGTCTGAAACGAAGTACTGAAGTTGTTCTTAGGCTGGATTGCATCACAGAGACGAGTGCTGCGTTGCTCTGTGCCAAGGAGAGGTGAGAGTTTGAGCTGCGGGGGCTGAGGTATGAGGTCAGAAAGAAGCTTGTAAATAATTTCAGCACCATGGACAATGACACCCGTCCCCTCCTCCTGCTCCGGAATTGCAGGTAAGAATGTCAGGAGGAAGACGACCCTTGATGTCCACAGGTCCACAGACACCTCAAGGTCAGAATGTCCAATGTGAGCTTACCATCTTCCCTACAAAGCTGGGTTCTTCCTCAAGTACTCCTGTTTTAGAATCATTACTCATCTAATTGCTCAATCCCGAAACCTGAGAGTCATTTTGGACTCCTCTCTCTTTTTTCCCACATTCCACAGTCCCAATCTTGTTGATTCCTCCCCACCACCATAAGTCTTTATAAGCCACCCCTTTTCCCCATTCACAATACTCCTGTCCTAGTTTAGGCCACCATTGCGGGGTGGGGGTGGGGTCTGGATTACTAACACATCCTCTTAATCTCTGTACCTCCAGCTTTTTCCCTGCTACAAACCTCTTCCCACTTCAACCTATTGTTCATGGAAGCTGCCAGGGTGAGTAATCTTTGGAGCACAACTTGAGCCCCTTACCATCCTGCGCTGGTTGTAAGGCTCAGATTGGGGCGATTTGTTGTCATCTGTGGAGTTCTCTGACACCCTTGGCTTCATTCTGTGCCTTCTGTCATTGGCATTTTTGGAGGCTAAAGGTGATGCATTGTAGGAGTGGAGAGAGGCTGTGTCAATCCCCAGTGCTGCCAGCATCTGAAGAGAGAGAACAGCAGTTGAATCCAACAGTATCTGGTTGAACTTAGCATAAATGTATTCCCTAGACATGGGGTGTCACAGAGGTGAGGGTGTCTGAAACAGAAGAGATCAGGATTAGGACCTGGGTGGTAGTGGGATTGAGACATGACAGGAAGAGTCACCTCTAGGTCACCTCCCTAGCTCCCACCTTGTAGTAGACCCTATTGATGCTCTGCCTGGATCCCTTTTACCAGGTCAGTACACCCATCTCCAGCTGCTTGAGTGTTAGCTGATAATGGACCACAGCTGCAGCATTCTGCAGAAAATTTCATTTGACTACATTTGTCTGGGGAAGGTGTAGGGGTACAAAAGGCCAGCCCTCTTGCCTCAGAGTAGGGCTAACTCTGTGGTATGTCATGCCCCAGCACTCCCCATGGGATCAGGCTGAAGGTAGCCTTGCTGAGGCCACCTTCTTGTGTAATTCTTCCCCCGTCCCATGTGCTTCCTTCACTCTCCTTCTTAGAGAACCCCTCAATAAATTATTTGCATGAGATCTTTGCTCAGGTTCTTCTTTTGAGAAAACCTGCCCTGAGATCATCCCTGAGGTAAGATGAATCTTCCTACAGTTTTCTAAAATAATAGCCTTAATCTAAGTGGCTGATCCAGACCTCTGCCCAGGAATGTACAGCTTGCAACAGCCTTCACAAAGCTTCCACCCCTCACAGACCTCCTGCTCCTTCCGGAGCCTCTCAAGGGCCTCCTGGAATGTCTTCTCCTTGGCTTCAATTTCATCAATAGTTGCCTGGTTCTGCTCCTCATATGCCATGGTGACCACAGCCAAGATCAGGTTGACCAAGTAGAAAGACCCCAGGAAGATGACGATCACAAAAAAGATCATATATGTTTTCCCAGACACCCTCAGGGTCTGCAGATTCAACAGAAAGAAGAGAGATATATACCCAGAGTACAAAGGCTCCTGACATTGTCAGGCTCCTCCAGGAAAAATGTAGCCATACAGCTGACCCCCCTCCAACCAAGTCTGTAGGGAGACAGGCAGATCAATACCTGCTGGTAGAGGCGTTCCCATGAATCCTGTGTCATGAGGCGAAACAGTGAGAGGAAAGCCCAGGCAAAGGAATCAAAGCTGGTGTAGTTAAAATCCGGGTTGTCAGATGTTTTAAGGCAGAGATAACCTTTAGGACAGTGGCTGTAGCAAAAATAGAGAAGGTCATCAATTGCGCAGCCCCCTGCTTATTGAGGGTAAAGCAGCCCAGGGCTACAGGAAGACCACAGGGTTTGAAGCCAAAGATTGGCCTTCCTCTTATTAGCTGGATGACCTTGGACACTTAGTCTCTTTAGGTCTCATTAATGGGACCATTGCCCAAATGGTTTCATTGCCCATTAAATGGGGTTGATAATACTTTCACTTCATAGTTTCATGCACAGGGGAGTGGCTTGGGGATGGCCAACTGACTGCCCAGACATGACCCTATAAGGTGGTAAGCTCTTTGCAAGTTCACACCAGGGGATGGAGAGTTAGTACCAATAATGGAGATTTAAAACCTGAGCCAGTTGGCATCACCTGCAGAGTTGTCTATCAAAGGAGGACTCACATTAGCCAAGTCCACTGACCAATTATACATAACAATGAAAACAACACTTTCCAATTACTGAGCACTTACTGTGTGCCACTCTCTCCCCTAAGTGCTTCAGACACACTATGATTTAATCATCTCAACAATCCTCTTTTATAGATGTGGAAGCTGAGGTTCAGAGAGAAGAAGTCAGTTGCCTAAAACCACACAGATGCCAATGTGTTTATTTAAAAGGAGAAATATAACTGTCAAGTAGCCTATGAGGACTGACCTACGAAGGAGGGCCAAAGTGAAGATGACTGCTTGGTGAGTATTGGGGTGAGGGTGCTGGACTCCTCTCTCTTATAATAAGGGGATAAGTTGGTGTCAAGAAGTATCTCTAAGCTCAGGGCATGCGAGGTGCTCTCGTACATTCTAGTGGGATGATCTGACTGAGAAAACAGTCATGGCTTGTTTATAGTTTGGGGTGCTACTGCTCCAGGATTCCTCCACCAACACTGACTTCTGGGGCTCTCTTTATTCCAGACAACCAGGCAAACACACAATCTCAGGGCCCATACAATTGACTAGGGTCCCAGCAACTTGATTATAATCATTCCCAATTCTGTCTCCAACTTTGGTTGGAGATGTGCGAATTCCCAAACTCTGTAGGCCCACATGTAAAGACGGTCTCTTGGTTTGCTCTCCCAAGGAACTAGCCAACCCATTACCTATGTTACCCATTTCCAGGTCTTCCATGGAACCTCTCTATAGCTGCTCCACATCAACAGCTAATGGCTCTAAGACTCAAATGAGACCACAATGCAAAGCTTCTTGCATGGTACCTTCAGCATAGCAAATATTATATGTAAAATGCAGAGTTAAAATCCCTGCTGTTTTTGACCTGAAGCTACCAAAAGGATGGACTGGAATAACACATGTGAAAGAAAGCTGAAAATCATCAAGTATTTCCTAGTACTTGTTCTCCACCTTGAGACCTCAGACTTTCCTCCCACAATGCCACTGGTCAGTGCAGGACTTCGCTCAGGGCTCTGGCTTCTCTGTGGCCCAGCGCAGGACCCAGCTTTGGTGTTCACAGCATGCCCTTCAGGGCTCACTCTGCCCATCATCCTGAGCTGACCGCCACTTACCATCCCAGACCTACCCACTTCTTTGCCGCCTGGCCAGGACCTGCCCTGCAGGATGTCTGATCTCTCTTGGCTCTGGAGCTGGGCGGGCAGCACGGATGGAGCCCACAACTTTACTACGAACAGCCCTTGGGCTACTCTGGAGCCGCCACCTTGAGAAATGCCATTATCCTGACAGGAAAAGGACATTGAGGGGGCCCTATGTTTAAATTTAAGTCAAAGGCAGGTGAAAATTGACATTGGAACAATCCTCTCCCTGAGCCAAACAGCCAAATGCCAAGTGCATTTGTGAAGAAAGAGGTCAAGGAGCCTATGTTGATCAAATTCTCCTATTTGTCCCCACTCCTCAGCTGTATCAGAGATTGTTTTCCTAGTGAGCTGAGTAAGGCAGAGCTCCACACAGGTCTCACCCAGCTCCACTTGGGCAATATGGGGCTGTCAGCCATTCAGGGAGTGGGATCATAGGGGTTTAGCGTTCCAGATCCCCAGCCATGGAGATGAGAGAGATAAGCCTTTCTAATCTGTTGCCTGGACCCTTTCTGTCCACGCCTGCTCCAGTGGTCAAAGCAGCTGGCAGACCTGAGGGGTCTCTTACCCATTACTTTGTCTCACATCTTGTTCCGCCACCTGGAATGGCTTCCATCCAAACTATCTTGTTCAACCAACCTGGAGACATCCCGCCTGCCCTTCATAGCTCACCTCAGCCCCCACAGACAGCCTTCCCTGACCTCCTCCCCTGCCTCACACCATCGCCTCACTGTGTTTCCCCAGCCAGTGGGGCCTCTAGCATGGCACTGGTTCTCCATCGCGTAATAGCTCAATGGATATGCATCAGAGCTCACAAACTGGCAGCTTGCAGGCTGACTTTGGCTTGCAGAAATATTTTGTTTGGCCCACAATATGGAGACATTTTTTGTAATTGGTAGAGAATATTTATAGTTGGGAAATTTCACGGAAAAATCTAAATTTCCAGTCTCTCTTTTAAAAGTTGGAAGAGCTGGAAGCGGTGGACCCACATGACAACCAAAGCTGGACTGAGCAGTGGCTGTCCCCTTTATCTGGGGCATGAACTCTCACTGCCATAGTTCCGCCCAGCCTATTCCTCTCATTTGTTGTGATGTGTCTGACCTTTGTAAGAATCTGAAATTGTGAAGTTGGGTGCATGTGTCTCTTCCTCTTTTGTGTGAGGATAATGAAACCCACGTGATTGCATTGTGATGATTAAATGTAGAACATTTGACACAAACTATATTTAATAAGTATTAGTTCCTTCCCATGGTAGATTGTTTTCAAAAATGGCCACAGGAATGCTGATGACAAGAAGGAAAATGAACTACTGGGCATTGGTGATTTGTCGTGGGTTGGGCACTCACCCTGCATCAGATCCATTGCCACACAGTAAGGGATCAGAAGTGCCCTGCTTAATGAAGTAGAAATCTGCAAAACAGAGGAGGGAATGAAAGCCTCATCTATTGTTCTGGATGTTCCAACCCAAGCCTTGTGTGGTGAGGGCAACACCTCCTAAGTCTTCTGCCCAAGCAAGGTGAGTTCCCTCAGCTACGTGCACTCAGTGGGCATGCTGGGACACTTGGAAGGGGAAAAGTCCCATCTGGGGACAGAAAAGCTGAGCAGTGACTTCAGCTGCGAGCCTCCCGCAGCAGAGGCAGAATGGTCTGCCTCTGGATTTATAGCTCATTTCCTTGTCAAAGGGACATTGGGCAACAGAAAATGAAGGACCCGCTTCAGGAGAAGCACTTCAGCAGGAAAGAGGAATGAAAATATATGTCTCTACAGGTCTGCAGGGGCTTCACACCCCTTGCCAACCAGACCTTTGTCCGTATGGCAGAAATTCGACTGGAGTTTTTCGTAAGAGGAGTAATTGGCCGTCTCGTTGAGAGTTGTGCAATCTTTGACACATTTGTTCTTGAGGTTGCCCTTGAAGAGCTGCAGGCCCACCAGGGCAAAGACACTCAGGCAGAAGACGGTGAGGATGGTCACATCAGTCAGCTTTTTCACCGAGTGGATCAGGGCCCCCACGATGACCTTCAGCCCTGCGGAAAGATGACAGCGACACTCCCACATGGATGAGGTACCACACACAGAGCATGTGTGCCTGGCATGCTTGCATCTTAGCCATCCTACCCTCTCCCTACATGCAGGTGGGAGGTATTTTACAAACTCTAGGGCAGTTCCAAGCCCAGTTCCTCATCGGAACCTTGCAATAACCCTGAGAGGCGGGCAGGCAGGCAAGCAGAGATTATTGTCCCATTATAAAGATGGGGCAACTGAGACTCAGGCAATGCATTTCTTGTCATCTTAAGCTAATAAATTCCTCACAGTAGCAGTTCAATTTAAAAAACAATTGTTGAGTATCTGCTATGTTCCAGGCACTGTGCTAGACGTGAGGCTACTAACTTCACTCCAATCATTTGGCATCTGTCTCTCTGCACTCACCTTAGTTCTGGGAGGCAGCTTGAGGCTGGGGACACATGAGCCTCAATGCATGTGTGTGTGTGTGTGTGTGAGAGAGAGAGAGAGGGAGTGAGAGAGAGAGAAAGGCATACAGGGGAGATAGACTGAGACAGAGAAAGAGCGACAGAGACACAACAACACTAAGAGATGAACATCACAATAGAGTGAGACCATGAGAGACACTGAGAGAGTTGCTGAGGCAGAAACAGAGAGAATCTAAGAAGGAGCTATCCCAGAATCAAGTACAGCTGGCAGCAAAGATGGGGCCCCTGCTTATTTGAAGAAGGATAATTTGTTGCTCTGGCAAAAGAAATCAGCTTCTTTGGGAAAGCAGCTTCATGGGTAGCAGGAAGAGCTCTGACCAGGAAAGCAGTCTGGGATCTATCCTTGCCTTGTCACTTTGTTCAACAAATAACCCACTGAATATGACCCGTGTTAGTCCCTGGGCTGGGAGCTGAACAATGGTGAAGGCACTGGCATGTGGTGGGGTTGTCTGAAGACTGAGGGGAAACTCTGTAGGATTATCAAGCAGGTGGGCACAGATAAGAGCAGCCCCCAACTGAAGCCTGGAGTGGGGATGGGGTGAGATGGAGGGTGGGGAATTGAGGCAGACCAGGGAGTCTCCTCGAGGAGGTTGGCAGAGCCCTGAGGAGCGAGTATGAGTTGAGTAAAGAGAGGAGGAAGGACTCTCCTGATGGAAGGAGCAGCATGGTCAAAGGCTGAGGGACGAGCAGAAGTGTGCAGTATTTGTGGAACCACAGGTAGATTTTGGAACCAGATCTGAGGCAGACAGTGGAGAGAGATGAGGCAGGAGAGGGAGTCTGGAGAGGGCAGGTCTTGTAAACAAGACTCAGGGTCTTCCTGGCTAAGAGTAGGTAAGAGTGAGAGCAAGTGGCCGAACTGACTGCTTATTGCTAATGCTCTCTTCATGAAGAAGCTTGTCCAGTGGGAGCTGGCGAACACTTTCCAGTCGCTCCCTGCAGAGTCAGACATAGAGTGGAAGAAAGGGACTTCCTCTCCAGCATGAGTGTTGCTATCTTGCCGATGAAGGAATGGATTCTCAGGTGAGGGAGGGGAGATAATCCATCAGGCCACGAGGGGGAAGCGTTGAGTCCTGTCTCAGCGCTGTCACTCTCCCTCCACCAGTCAACGAGGAGTATCACTGGGCCACTTGTGACAGCAGAGATCTTGGAGGCCCAAGAACGTGAGCTCTGGTGGACTACTTTTGTTTACGAACTCTCTGTAATCAAATATTGCCTAATTGTTTTCTCCTCTGGGGGTCCAAAGATAGAGATCAGCCTCAAGGTTTCGGATCCATGGACATGGCAAAGACATTCAGCAGAGCCTCCGACTGCCTTCTCCCTTCCTCCCTGGGTCCAAGTTTACACCTTTGATTTAAGGTATAAATGAGAATCTGATTGGAGGCTCGCTGAACCCCACAACAACATAAAATGAGGACATGACCTTCTTGTCATGGATAGTGAGGCCATGTGGCACCATGAACAGAGTATTGGCCTAGGAATTGAGACATTGGGTTTCCAGGTCACACTTTACCTCCTACTAGTGATGAGGACTTGGGATTGTGTCTTCTGCTCCCTAGGCCTCAGTTTCTTTGTCTCTTAAGTGGGGACAATAGCCCATGCCCTGGAACTTTATAGGGCTCTGGTGAAAATCAGAGGAAGACTTTATGCTGTGGAAATCAACATGTGCTCTGAATAAATGTGCTGGTTAAGGCAGCTCACCCGGGATCACAGAAACTGTTTTTAAAGCTCTAAGAACTCTGAACGTCCGCAGGCCTGAGATCCCTCGGAGATCCATCACTTCACCAAGGTATCTGTAGGACCAGAAGTCAGTCAGCATCTCTGTAAGGGGAGGGTCCTGGGAGTGCATGCAGCATAAATGAGAACAATTTTGGGAACACGAGCCTAGAAAGGACCCAGAACAAACACAGAATCTAGTAGCACTTCCACCTATAGACCGACACTAACACTGATTCCTTTATTGCATTATCTTTCAGAATGGTCCCTTTGGGAAGATGCATTGTGTGTGGGGCTCTGTGCACTACACATATGGATGGATATTCAAGCATGTGGGCTTGGCCAACCAGTCTTCTCAAACACTGATTCCTCAGGGAAAGCACTTCATGCCAGGTAGATGCAAGGTTGAGCTTTGTCTGATCCACTTCGACAGGCCAGTTATGGGCTCAAATTTGAGGTCTCTGACTTCTCCCTGAGGGTGTGGAACTAACCCTGGAAAGTGACTCCCAAAGCAACACTTGGTGGCAAGAAAACCCCAGGCCGCGCAGTCCCAAACGAGGAAGCTGAACGGAGATAAGGAAACACCTCCAGAGCCTGAGCCTAGACACACCCAGAAGCTCCACACAGACACACAGACACATCAGCATGGAGAAATACTCACGCCAGAGTAATGACGCTAAAATCCAGCCAGTTCCAAAGATCTCGCATGTACGCAAACTCATTTAGACAAAATCCTCTTGCCAGTATCTTGATCAAGGCTTCAAAGGTGTAAATGACAGTGAAGATATACCTGGGAGTGAAGGTGGAAAAGGAGAGTTGACTGTGCCTGGGGAGAGCTCTGGGGGAGAGCTGCTGTGATTGCTCCAAAGGCAAGCATGCAAAGATCATCACCAGCTGGGAAAGGGAAGATGGGAAGGGAAGGAGATAAGACACAGACGGAGGAACTTAGAGGAGTCACACAGATGAGCAAGGTGGGGAGGGATGTGTGTGGCTGAGATGATTGCAGCATCTGCTGCTCTGAAGGTAGGCAGAGGGCAGTGGTAGCTCAAGAAGTACCACAAGGTTCAGAACAAGGATCTTCCTGTTCCATGAGGTTCCCAGAGGCTCCTCGCCCTGAGGGAAGCTGGAGGCACTTCTCTGAAATCGCTGAGGGCTGAAGATGTGGAAGAGGGCCAGGCCCTGCTACATCCCCCGTCTCCAAAGTTCTCTACTTCTGGCTGTCTTTTCTTCTCACACTGTGTCTGGTCTGCCTTGTTTCTGGCCTCAGGCATCCCAGTCTAAGAACCATATAAAGCAATAAGCAACTAAGCGTCATGGAAGAAAAAGGCATCTAAATTCACAAGCATTTTCTCAAGAGGATGGATCCCGTTAGAGGACCATCTCAAAACAGCCCTTTTATTCTTCTGGGCACTTTGTGGGTTTGGATTTGAACAGATGGTTCTGGAGCTGATGTTGAGAGTAGGGTAGTGTCTGTCAAACATTCAGAACCCCTCAATCACCTACAGCAGTGGTTCTAAAACTCTAGCAAGCACCTGAACCACCTGGAGGGCTTGTTCAAACGTGGATTTCCGGGCTCTTCCCCTAGAGTTTCTAATTCGGGAAGTCTAGGGTAGTGCCTAAGAATCTGCATTTCTAACAAGTTCCCAGCTGATGGTAATGTTGCTAGCCTGGGGAACTGCCCTTTTAGAACCATTGACAAAAGGGATTCAGATGCACATGTAAATCACATGTAATTTTGGATACATTAAATTTTTTAAAATTATAAACATAAACACTGGTGTTAAAAATGGGAAGACTTTTGATTAAATATGACAGATTGAACATATGTATTTACCTCCATCTTTTCTGAAATCCTTCTTAAATGATAGTAAAAGGATTTTTTAAAAAGCGCAAACCCACTAGAACGAAGATAATGGAGAACACAACAATAGCGTTTTGGAAACTAGAGTGCGGATGGGTGAGTGGCAACTGACAGAGCAGACCCAAGAAAGTGGAAACCTTAGCTGGAAGTGGGGCGTTCCCAGAAACCAGCCAACCCACATTGAAGAGCAGCTCAGGACTTAGAGATGCTAAGTGCTTCTGAAAGTGGGGATGGGGAGAGGGTGGCAAGTGGGGTTGAAAGGACAGTTTGAGAGTCTTTACAAGAAGCAGTTGGGCTAGACCCCACTCCACATCACCCATCCAGTGAGGAACTGCCTCCTCTGCTCTGGAAATGGACTGGATGTTCATTTTCTCAAGAGATGCACAAAAGGGAGAGAGCTGCATACTGAAACAGGAGTATCAAGAAAAAATTTACATGCTGGAGGCAGACAACCCTCTTCTTCCCCTCGGTAAGTGCCTAGAAGCCTGGCAGTCAGATTAATAGCCCGGGAAGATGCTGCACTTTTAATATGGACCGCCAGCCAATGAGCATCAGGAATTTGAAGGGTGCTTCTAACACCAAAGACTAAAGCAACCAAACAGGAAAAAAAAAAAAAAAAAAAAAAGAAAGAAAGAAAAAGAGACAATGTGGGGAGCAGAAGAAAAGTTAGGGGGAAAAACCCCATCATTAACATTTTTAGAGAGTTAAGAGACGAGAAAATAGTGGATACATAAAACAAGAACAGAATGCTATAAACAAGAATGTTCCCAGAACAAAACACAATTTTTGAAAACAAAAATATGATAGCAAAAGTAAAACATTAATAGGAGGGCTGGAAACAAAGTTGAGGAAATCCCATAGAAAGTGGAACAAAAAGACAGAAATGGATAAGAGGTGATAAAAGTATGAAAAATTAGAGAGTCAGGCCAGTAGGTACAATTTCTGACTAATGAGAAATCTAGAAAGAAACAGACAGGAGCAAATTATCAAAGAAATAATTTAAGAAAATTTCCCTAAACTGAAGGATCTAAGTAATCAGCTAAAAACACCCACAGTTGTTCCAAAACATGAATGAAAAGGCTCATATCATGGCATAACATCACAAAATTTCAGAACCTTGTGCACAGAGAGAAGAGTCTAACTTTTCTTGAGGGAGCAAAAATCACAGGCCACAAAAAAAACTATCAGATTTCTCTTTTTGTTTTATTTTGTTTTTTGGGTTTTTTTTTTTGAAGAAGAAGATTAGCCCTCAGGTAACATCTGCTGCCAATTCTCCTCTTTTTGCTGAGGAAGACTGGCCCTGAGCTAACACCTGTGCCCATCTTGCTCTACTTTATATGTGGGATGCCTGCCACAGCATGGCTTGACAAGGGGTGCGTAGGTCCACAGCCGGGATCCATACTGGCAAACCCTGGGCTGCCGAAGCAGAACATGCAAACTTAACCACTGCACCACTGGGCCGGCCCCTCAGATTTCCTAACAGCAACCTTGGAGGTTATGAGACAATGGAACAATGCCTTCAAATTTTTGAGGAAAATAATTTCTAATACAGAATTTCTTCCCCAACTAAACTGTTAAGATGAGGGTAGAAGAAAGACAACTACAGATGTACAGTCTCTGAAAATTTACTTCCTATCTACCCTTCTAAGAAAGTTACTAGAGGATGCACTCTAAAAAACAAGGAAGTAACCAATAAAGAGGAAGACATGGGATGCAGGGGAGAGACAAACGGAATCCAAAAGAGGATGGAGAAGGAAAAATCTCCAGAAAAGAGCTGTGCATCAGGCCTAGAGAACATCTAGGTTAGATTAAAGCAGGAGATAGAGATTCTAGGAGTGATTTCCCCAAGAAAACTGGAAACTGATGTGTTTGAATAAACTGAAGCAAAAATTAAAGCTCTGGAGAAAAATTTGGGAGCAAATTGGTGATAAATATATAGAAAACTGAGCAAATGAAGAAACGAAATCCTTATTAACTCCAGAGAAAGCAAAAACATGCAAAAAGGAAATGTAATCAAAGTAATTGCATGACATATCTGTGAGTAGTAATTGCTTAACAATACTATTACATAATCATATAAGTAGTTGGACAATGTACATGTTATCTGGTTATCTAACCAAAATTTATAACTGTAATGGGAAGACGAGTCCAAGAGGAAATGAGTGTGTGTATGCGGACCCAGCTCTTTTTTTCCATAGCAGAAAGTCAATAGATGATATCTAAAATGGAAAAATAAAAAAATAGTAGTGTGAGTATATTATTAGAGACGGAGATATCAGAAGAAAGAGGTAAAAAAGCTGAGAGTAGTTGCCTCTGGAATTATGGGATTAGGGGTGAGGAGATGAGAAACACGAAATTGCTGTTTTTATTAGAATCTTTATAGAACTATGAGACCTTTTAAACTATAAACCTATATATCTTAAATAAAAGTAAAAATCAAATTAAAAAGTGAATAGCAGTAACATTTGTCCATATCTGTAAGAGGAGAAATAGTGTTTGAAATCATTCACAAAGAAATCTATATCTGGCTGGGTAGCTGCCTGAGCTGTCAGCTTCCATATCGTGTTGGTGTTCCCCCAACTCTTTATGTTTTCTAAATTAGAAAATCTTAACTCAGAATTATAGGCTGTTGGGAAACTTTGATGGATATTTCTGGCTTTCCAGATCAATCACAGATCCAGAAATTATGGAGAAATTTCTCTCTAAAGACTGTTTTCAGTGTTTCACCGGCCTAGTGCCACTGAAAGCTGAAGGTTAAAGGTCTCAATTTGGGAGACAGCAGCTGATGGAGTGACATCCTCTCTCTGGAGGCATTTGGCTCCAAGGCATTTCATCACATTCAGCTGCAGCATTTGGACGTGAGTTTTTATCTTTTTTTTTGTAGGGAAAGATTTGCCCTGAGTTAACATCTGTTGCCAATCTTTCTCTTTTTTGTTTTTCTCCCCAGAACCCCAGTGCATGGTTGTATATCCTAGTTGGGTGTCCTTTGAGTTCTTCTATGTGGGCTGCCGCCACAGCATGGCAACTGACAGACGGATGGTGTGGTTCCAAAACCGGGAAATGAACATGGGCCGCCAAAGCAGTGAGAGCGTGGGGCTTTAACCGCTAGACCATCAGGGCTGGCTCTTGGATGTGATTCTTAATATACAAAAGACATATCTGAAGTGGCTTTTCTGATGAATGAAGAAAGTCATTGAGTATTGGGAAAAACTCAAACTCTCAGCCATTGAGCCATTTGCACCACTGCTTGGTTTTAAGAATTCCGATGTCTAATCATTAAAAAATCCTGATATTTAGGCCCTGAAGTCAAAAATCCATACTGTTCAAAATCCTGAATGTATTACTGAGACACACCACATGTATTCATGGAAATGGTAATTTAAAAGGATTTCATTCCTTATTTTAGAACACTGTAAACCTTTTTGGTGTGCCAGCCAGAGCAATTCTGTGTGGAGAGCAAGCATCTTGTACTCACTTCTCGTTTCAGCCCAGTAGGCTGAGGAGACGTATACTAAGTGGCCACAATCAGCTGGCATTCACAATTTCAACTACATCCCTCAACAGCAAATCAGAGTCTGGAGGCAGGTTATGGACCCCCTGCTGTGTTCCATGAATAAGGCATGTACCGCCTTTGGAAGAAATATTTTTCATTTGTATAGCAATGCCTTCCCCTGCTGACCATGTGGCTGGAGCTTCCTCAGTACCAATTCATCATATCTTTTTTTTTTCAATTGTGGAAAAATACATGTAACATAAAATTTACTACTTTAACCATTTTTAAGTATAAAATTCAGTGGCATTAAGTCCATTCACAATATTGTGCAACCATCACCACCATCCATCTCCGGAACTTTTTCATCCTTCCAAACAGAAACTGTACTCATTAAGAACCCCCCATTCCTCCCTCCCCTATGCCCCGGCAACCTCTA